CTTTTATTTTCTTTCAGCCTATAGCCACGTGATTGCTGATCTCCTCTGGCTGTAACGATGTGTCCTTATTCTTTGTCATCTTTATTCCGGACCAAATGTGGCCTGTCAGTTTGGATCAAGCAGCCTGGAGCTCAGTGTGGCACTTTGGAGAATTAATGGCCCAGCAGCCATTATCGTGCAATACAAAGACAAGTCTCATGCCCTCTCTCTGACTTAGCATCTCTTTCTCAAACATGTTTGGACAGACAGTTACACACACACACATACACACACATGCACAGTTCTGTTAGCAGTGCAATGCCATCCAGTCTCGCAGAGGGAAACAAGGCTGTCTGCTCTGTAATGAGTGGCAGTGAGTGTGAGAAAATGCCCCTGGTCCGTGTTAAACATACCGCATGTCGGACTACTCGCCTGTTCCAAAGTGAGACTGATTACTCGCCTGATTGATAGCCCGTGCTTAATAACTTTTCGCCCTCTTCTATATCATTCACGGACAGCGGCCTACTATGCCTCCTGAAATACGGCAGAAATAAGACCCAGATTGTTCCCTACACCGACTGCCGTCTCTACTCCCAAGGGACTCAGGAGAAACAGAGGCTGATGTGGACATTCTGCAAACTGTGTGTGTGTGTGTGTGTGTGTGTGTGTTTGTGTGGAAGTGACAGAAAGACAAAGAAGAACAAAGTGAGAAGGACGTCCTTTAAAAACACCACAGCCCCACACTTCAGCCCTCCTCGTGACAACAGGCAATATTCCAGAGAGGGACGGAAATAGAACACCAAAGGTTGGATGTTCATACTAAAGCTCTTCAGTTGCTGCATCCCATCCAGTTTTGGAAATGTTGGGAAGCTGAGAAATTGCTGAGCACGCTCTGGTGAATAACTAGGAATGTAACAATCCCTGCGATACAATTACAAATATGGACAATTCAAGCAGTAGCATTTATCAATGTCATTGTTAAAAAAATGCATTGTTTTATGACACCTTATATCAGCTCTACCATGTTAGCTTCAGCTAGAAGTAGCTTCACAGACTGACAGGATTTTTTTTATGTGCAGTGCAATGACAAATAGAGTCTTTAGATAATTCTTTCTTCAGAGTCTCGACTGTGTGAATCTTTTTCTGAGCTAGTGAGGAATTCAATCTGGAGTATGGAATTTTAGTTTCCAGGTTAAGAATAAAATATGAAATCACCCATCTTTCTTTACTACATCTTTACACCATGTGCATTAGGGTTTGTTTTTTTTGCACTGGCACTACAATCTCATTTTCAGAGCGCTTCTCACTGGTGCTAACTGTTGCTAGGAAACGAAAGTACTTTTGCTTCTCTCTGTAGTGTCCTTTACTCTGTTTTAGCTATGTCTGCTTTTATACAAATACATGTTATGCAGTAAACATGAGTAATGTAAAGGGGCCATGTCCTGGTATAAGCAGTAGCTCTAGATCTGGAAATGGTACCCTTGAAAATAAGAGTCAGACTAGTTTTACTGTTTCATTGTTGGTGACAAAGTTGATACCTTCTTGGTGGCGATCTGTCAGTGACATTGACAAGCGGAGCGGTGTTCCAAAAGTTGAACTATTTTCAAATGTGATGCAGCGACAAAAGAAAACCCAAGCTGGAGCCAAGGGAGATTTATCACTTAGAGCGCTGAAACACTGGTGTGCAGGCCCTTAGCCTTACCAGGAAATAAATGAAATTACTTTTATAGTTCAAAATGGAAAATGATCATTGCTTACCAGCTGAAAATCACAACTCCTGCATCCCTTATACAAAGAGGCACGATACAGACATCTATCAGCACAAGGCAGGCGTGTGAGTGCCAGAGGGCTCAGCCCAATAAGCAAATATGGACATCTAATTAAAAGATTAAACTACAACCACTTGTTGCAGTCATGAAGGAATACACAAAGCCCAGACTGACAACAGCATGTTATTAGACGGACCTCTTTTAGTTCCCCTTTGAGGTCATTGTTCCAGATATCCTGCTTTGCATTTTTCCAACATTGGCAGAAGATTTACTGTACATGTGCATCAGCTCCTTCAAGAGCCGCGGCCTTCAGAACACTTTACAATGTATTCTTGTCTGTAGAGACATGTGCACCTTTGTATAGGTTGATACTTATGTAAGGGAGGGAGTGAATTCATCCACAGCGACACTGTTGAAAAGCCAAGTCGGTTCTGCTCAGCAGTCAGTGAATGTGGGAATAAATGAAAATCAGTTATTTTAGACGACTGCGAGTGTATTTTCCTCTCTAAAAATGCAAGGGTATTCACAGAGGGTTTACCCAGACTCTTCTTTTCCTGCATAAGTCAGCATTTCCGTTTTGTGAAAAGTCGCAAAGAATGGCTTTGAATTATTCCCAAAGAAAAGAGCAGAAATGCAGATTAAAGTGAGAGCATAATGGGGGAGAACAACACGAGACCCTGCTGCACTTCTACACACATCGCAGACGATGAGAGAGGGCGGGGGGCGGGGGGGGGGAACAAACAGACATCAACACGTGTCGAATCACATGTGCTGATAAAAACAAGATGTGATAAAATCTCACATCAACATCAACTTACAGCGACGACTTCCTTTATCTCAGAACGTATCAGAATGGTGTGAAGACTAGTACAGACGGCTGCCAACATTTCGTACATTCAGAGTGGTCAGAAGATACTCGGGGGGGAAAGCGTCCCCTCCCATCCTCTGCTCGTTGTTTACAGTCAGACTGCAGACACATGGATGGAGTTGAGAGAATTAGGGATGGGGAGCGTTAACTTGTATTGGTATTGCTATCATTATCCTTAATGATCAGAGTCTTTATCGATACCACATTGTAACTTTTCTATAACTTGGTGGTAAGACGAGAAAAGCTACTGATTAGAAAATAATTTATTGTATTTCATATTTGCTTTGCAAAATCTTGGCATCACTCGTTTTAAGGACACTTTTTTTGGAGCTCCTGGTTGGAAGTTATTGCAGGTCGTGCCTCTTTTATATTGCTAAGAAAACAAGTTTCTCGCTACATCTCAATCATCATTTTCTTGACGTAACATTTGAACCATACACTGTAAATATTAATGGACGAAGTCTGAGTGACGTCAGCCATCTGTTACTGCAGGGGGCTCATGTGCAGCAGCCGCCATGATGGAAATGCTGTCTCAGCCTAACTTTCAGTCAACCTAACGACAGGCTGAGAGCTGCAGCTGAGGTTGGTTTTAAGCCTCTTGACAAACTTTACATCGCGCCCACGTGTCAATCATGTCAGCTACTCGCCTAACTATGGGTAACACGTAACGTTCATAAAATCTAAACTGAGCCGTTTAAAAAAATTCTCCCCTGTACAGTGTGTTTCCATGATGACAATAACTATCAGACCTATTTTGTTTTTTGTACCAGGCTGTAAAGGTGTTCATTTAGGCTTTATAACAGGCTTTTTGCCAGTCATGTGTCTGTGACTTCCAGTGATGGAGCCAGCTTCAAAGACACTCTAGGAATTGCAGGATTTTGCACTTCTGCGTTGGCTTCAATGCTCAAGACCGGAGGTTGCCGCTTGATTTGAACACATCGAATTAGCTTTTTTTTTTTCCTGCTGATTGCATCACAGATTTCAACATTGGATTGCTATTTTCTAACTAACAGAACTTGCAACAAAGTTTGCAGGATGACTGTCCCGCAGCAGTATCAGCTGAATTTGATCAGGGGTTGAGGTTAGCTTTAACATGTCAAATTGTTAAGCACATCATCACCACACCTGTAGTACAAAACACATCAATGTCAATGGTAGTTTTTCTAAATGTATTCTATCATCTAACTAAATGAAGGAACACAAGAGGCACATGTGGTCTATAGGTCTGCATGGTCTGAGAATTAAAAATGCAATGCATGATAACATTGTGCAATAACACTATAGAGATTGGAGCTTTCACTTTCTGCGTCATTCTGCTGTTCTGTATGTTTTACAGAATCTCTTCTGAACCCAAAATCCTGAACCCAATTAAATGAATACATTTTCCAAAGTCCACATTCTTATTTAGTGATTCAGGATGTCTTCTGTGATGTGTTTAATTTTAGTCAGTGTGTATTTTAGTGTGCAACTACAATCTGGTTCATCATGAAGGTTAGATTGTGCTCAGTCAGATGATGTTTTCAGTACATGTTACATCTGCTCCATTAGTTTATAGTCATGTCTCTCCTCTTCAAACAGGCTTTTAATGTATTATTGTGATGTATTTTCTGTTTTCTAAAGTTTACCTTTATTGTTGTTCTCTTTATGATTTGTGTGTAATGTCGCAAAGTCTGTCCTTACTGTGCTGTTCTTTCTGTTTGTAACTAGTGTACAGTGTCTTTGAGTTTTTGAAAAGCGCTTATAAATTAAATGTATTATTATTTGTATTATTATTATTGTCATGTCAAGTCAAATCTATTCAATCACAGGGCTGTACTTGGATTTTAAACTTCATGATACCAGTAAAAAGCTCAGATATTGATATCTGTTTTCGACAGAGAAAGAAGAACTTGGCACCCAATCCTGGGTCATTTCTCATGTTTTCACTCCTGCACACTAATTCAATTGGCACATGTTGTTTGTGCAATTTTAAACAGGGATCTCTCTCTATCGGTTAAACATAAGCCTGATGATCTAGTGTTCCTAAAGCTTTGGTACTTTGGTAACCTTTGGTTTAGGGCACTGGGTTATTTTAGCTGTCTGTTCACTCTGTTGACAAATATCATTAATTCAGTCTTTAACTAAAGTGAAGCCTTTATTTTATAGTGCACACAGTTTTAGAGTGTGTGATGTTAACAGTAGCAGTCAGAGGTCATTGACATGTATTGGATTCTATATTTTCTACACACACAGATTGAGCTCAAAGTGTCAGTCAGCTGGACTCACTCATCTGTGAGATACACCGACGACTGCAAAGGCAAAAGCTTAGTGATAGTTAGCCTGACAGAATTAAATCAATACAACCCACAAAAACAAACATAAAAAAACAGTGTAATATTTCTTACCTCAGATCTCAGTGAAAATGTTGCTTTATGTCTCTGGAGACAGTAGAAAAAGGTTAGCTCATTTAGGCAGCATCAGTGTGTCTCAGTTCTGTGTACCAGCCTTTTTTTTTTCTTTTGCAGAGACGGTCATGAACGGGAAGACAAGACATGTAGTGGGAATGAAAAAAAGCAGAACACTGTGACGGATACCGAGACTATTTCTCAAAACAACGGCGTGTTCAGTCATTACATTCTCCAACACTACGCCGGGGCTTTTTTTTTTTTTTTTTTGGTGTTGTTTACCAGCTAGCCTAGCTCCTTAGAAAGGCAGAGAGACAGAGAGCAGCTGCCTGGATACCGACTCCACTCTGCTGTGTTGAGTCTCCGCCTACCTCCGAGGGAAATCCCGCGCTCAGATCTCGCGATGACACTCGACCTCTCTCATTGTAACATTTGCCGTTGATGATTATTACTTATCTTGAGCCTATTCACTTATTCAGACTTTTTTTTTTTTTTTTTTTTTAATTAAATTAATCTTGATAAGTCACATGCATGTACCATTTCACAAAGGCCAGTGGGTCTTCAGCCTTTTCTGCTGGGCATTTGAAATATTTGTAGATTCTAGATTCAAGATTCAAGATTTTGATTTGTCACATGCTCATACAGATGTGCAGTGAAATGTAAAGACTGTTCCGCAAAGGCCATGCAATAAACACTCAAATTGCTAATACACACATATACAGTAAAATAGAATATAATGTAAAATTAAAAAAAATAAATATTTGAATATACAAAATATAGAATAATGTAAACAGTGTAAAGTGTCAGTGTGTAAAGTGTCCAGGGTGTCAAAGTGCAATGTGCAATTTGTATTTGCATACATACTATACAACATACTGTATATCTACATGCACGAAACGCACTGTCAGTCACGCTCTTTTCTAAAAAGAACAATCCTATATTTTTAGAACTATAGTTTGAAACGTTGTCTGTAAAAAGTGGAGAATAGCAACTTCAGTGTGATAATAAACTGAAAAAACTAACTTTAAAAGAAGAAGTAATTTAAAGTGATACTGTAACAGGAAACTTCCACATTTGTGACTTCAGGTGTAGATTAATTTTTCTGGATGTTCTCTTAACATTTTCTAGCATGCTTTATCAGCAGTGAAAAACAGTGTGCATTGTTTTAGCCCCCCCGTCATAACTCTGAGGCCCCCCTATGGGATCCACGGCCCCACTTCCGGATTCACCAAATAGGCTTTGGTGTCGATCTACCCATCTTATGCAGAAGAATAGTCACATATGATATTTACAGACATAGAGGACCTTTATTAGTGCCTCACTAATAATAATAATAATAATAATAATAAATTACGCTTTTTGGTCCAAAAATGTTTGAAGTGCGCACATTTTAATAAAATAAGAAAATAAAAGGGAATGCATAAGCTGCAATGTCAGAGTAATTCTGACATTTTAACAACAGTTTTATTATAACTTTAGTTGAAAATGGAATCTGAAATATTACGATGCTGTATCACCTTCTCTCATTTTACCAGATGTGTTACTGAGTAAATGTACATGTGCCTAAAAAAATTGTTAACTTTATGTTAGTGATATGTTTTTGATTTATTCCATTTTTCCCCTTGTGATTACTTTTATTAAATGTTATATAATAATAATAATTATTATTATTATTATTATTAATTGTCTATTTTATCTGCATAACCTTTTTCTTGCTTTTAAATGTGTTGTCCTTGAAACCAGAGAACTTTAACTTTTATTCCTTTGAGTCTGTTATAAAGACTTTTTCTGAGGTTCTTTTTTGCCTCAGAGACGGTAAACGAGGTAGAAAATAAAGATCTAAATCTAGAGTTTCTTTATCAAACTCCCCTGAATCTCTGGGAAAGCAAACATAAATAAATTGTGTACTTTTTGAAGAACAGTTTGTACAGTGCAGTTTGATGACATTAAATACAAAGCAACACTCCCATCTTGTGTCTGAAAATAAAAAAGCAAGGAACACTGCCAGCATGTTGTATGAAGGGTGCACTGTTCCCCTGTGTACCACCCTCGGGTGAGTGCCGCACATACATGCTAACATTTGAGTACTAAGCTGCACGATGTTCCAACCAAAATAACTATTGACTGCAGAAGATTGATGATCTTAAATCCAAACCAAATAGACTTGTCTGCCATTCACAGTAGGCCCAGTAAGATCTTAACTGCTTAGTGTCAGCCATAAGCACCTATTGTGACTCTTTAGTCATTTACTGAATTTTCTTCTCTAAATGAACCTTATCATTACTTATGTCTGCATTTCAAAAAGTTGACCACTGCTATGTTGGCCTATGTATGCCTGCTTGGACACTGTAGCCACCATTAATGTTATAATAATGTTATAATAAGAGGTAACTATTTGTCACTTCTTAGAATAATTTACCTGTTATTAGAATCTGCATATTTTGGTATCTACAGGTCTTTTATAAAGTCAGGTATTTTAACTACTCTGCTATTGTTACCGTGCACAGTATAGGCCTGCTTAAAGGAAAATGCCTTCAAATTAAAATGTTTTATTCAATTTAAACCCAGTACAAAACATCATGGGCCAAACAACAAGACACTCTTAATTTGATAATTCATCATGTCATGCAAATATGTATTGTGCGAAAATGTGAAGCAGGTAATTACTGAGAAACAGTGAAACAAATCGTCTATATGGGTTCAATTTAGGGCCAAACAAATACTACTATTTTCTCCATCACTAGATGTCACTGCAGGCCGTTTATTAAGAAGACCAAGCTGAACCTGACAGGCAATGTATTGCTCGCACAATCGGCTGTGCAAATCTTGTAGTATGAAACAAAAATATTAAATGGTTATCATATGGTTATATATGTTGTTGCTTTGTAATAAAATAAGGTGTACTTATGTACAGGAGCGATACATTGCACGTCATGCAAAGCTTATGCAAATCTCAAAACTCGTCATTTTTAAGGTAACTCGTCCACATCAATATCAGCTATAGTTTCTGATATATTTCTAAGTGATGGATGACAATTTTTCTGCACGCATTCGTAATCAAAAGAATTGTTTGACGTCAGAGTCGAATGCAGTTGGTGATGCTCTTATGCTGCGTTCAAGAAGCCCCCGTAACTCCCAAATTATGTTGAACAACTGCGTTCAAGAGACACGTTTTGCCAAAGCACCAAAAGTAGACTAAAACATGATTGAAGGTTTGGGAAATGTGCAGGAAAACAATAGAAACGACAACGCAAAATTAAAAACTGAAAACAGCTACATGCATGAGTAAGAGAACGACATTATGTCAGGGTCCATGATTATGCTCGACATTGTAAGACGAATTAAAAAGGCCATTTACGCCTTATTTCTCGACATGGGCAGTTCTAGGCAGGGGCCAACAAGGGCCCCTGTAACACTGAGCTTGGTCCCCCCTGTGGCCACCCCTCCAAAAGGAAGAACCCCCCTAGTACTCACAATCTAGTATTAAATACTGTTACTGAAAGAAATATAAATCATGGTATTTTATGTTGTGGTATTTTATGATGTGCACTATTATTTGGCATAATATATTTATATTTATTTTTTTAAAGCAATCATCTTTGTCTATTTTTCACCTGGGTTTAATGTTCCCCTCTGACAAAACAACTGGCCCCAGTTTGGCCCCCTCAGTAAAAGTGGTCTAGAACCGCCACTGTTTCTTGAGTTGAGATAAAACCTTTAGAAAATAAATTAGGTTGTTTTTTTTTTTTTACTTTCAAAGACTAGCAATTTTCCTGAAACAGTCAGAAAAAAAGTATTTTCTTAATTTAAAAAAAAGATCTAAAAGCTCATTGTAGATTAAAAATAATGTTGTTGCACTTATTTTAAACATGACAATTTAATATCTGAATCTGAATCTCTAGGCGCAATTAATTTCTACATGATGTATGTTGTTCAAAGTCAAGTCAACTTTATTTAAATAGCACATTTAGAACAGCCGAGGCGGACCAAAGTGCTGTACAGTAACTTAGGCAAAATACATTACATCCAAAACATCATAAAGACACACAAAAGCAAAAATTAAAAGTAAATTAAAACACAAAACAACAGTAAAAGTTCTAGTAGACACTGCTGCTGGGATAAAACACTCAACTGGAGATAAAAGCCAAGTAAAATAAAGGTTTTTTTTTAAATGACTTAAACTGTTCAGTTGTGGCAGCAGATCTTATATTAAATGTATTAACAGGAAATTAATTAAGGAATAGTAATGTATTAGCTAGGAAAGTGTGATTGTCTTGGAAATTTCGATACTCTTTCGCAGCACTTGAACGCAGCATTTACAGCCCCACACCGCCTCGGCTTGGAGGATAGAGCGACTCCGATTAGGGGGGCTGCCGCTGCCAACGATGCAATGCCTCGTTTTTACAAATGAACTCTGAGCATAGGCGCCTTCCGAGTGCCGCTGTCACCACCACCATCGGTTTACTCCAATAAAAGCAACAGGCTTCAGTAGAGATCAACCCGAAGGACCCAAGGCAATCGGAAAAAGGAGCGGGACTCGAGGCTTTATGTTTACCGAGGAGAAGCTGGAGAGGTGAGCCGTAGTAACTTTAGCTTGCCACATGCTAACTAAGGCTAGTTGTTGGGACAGCTTCTGTGTTACTAACCCTCTTATTACACGACGAGCTTAACCGTGTTAAGAGTTAGCAGTTTACCGTGGAAACACGACGTGAAACGACGGTTACTTGACGTTTGTCAGCCAGTAAAGCTAACACTGATGAATCAATGAACAAACGAACTAGCCTCTGCTAACGTAAAGCTAACATTAGTTGTTGGGCCCCGTTATGCAGCTGACTTCTCGACTAGTCTAAAAACTTAAGTGTGATAGATGCACAAACATACTCAAATGGAAAAATACTGCATATTTATGTAAGTTATAGCTGTGCTGGTTTTAGTGTAGCAACACGAGGAAGAGAGTAGTTAACATGAGAGTAGCAGGCTTCCTGTCAAAACAAGCACAACGCCTCTGAAAGCAGGATAATGATGCACAAAGTGCTTATGTAAATATGTCTGCTGCTTTTCTTTGTTAGGACTGCATGACAAACTTTTTTGATATATTAAAGTATTACTCTTGCTCAATGCCTCACTCTGTGTAAAAGGAGGAGGCAGGTGCAGATCTTACTCTTCTTAATGTTTCACTTTTGATTCATTTCTGTATCACTTAAGATAAGATAAGATAAGATAAGATATACTTTATTCATCCCAGCAGGGACATGTAGGTGTTCCAGCAGCCAGCATGCATACAAACACACAACACAACACATATATACATACATATCCCACCCATACATAAAGGGCCATACAAATTGTGTACAAAATACTAGCTCTGCCAGTGCATAGTGTGATAGATAAACAAAGAATTATTATTAAAAAAAGCAGTCAAGTGTGCAAATATACAGGTGCAAAATACAGTTTGATATATGCAGCTCAGGCTAAAGTTTAAAAGTTTAAATGTCTTCTGTCCTTACTTAAAGGAGAGTCGTTATAAAGTGCAATTGCAGTAGGTAAAAAAGTGTTTTTAAATCTGTCCTTTTTGCAGCCTCCCACTAAAAACACTCTTTTGTTCACACACGAGATTGTGTAAGTGATGCATGTTATTGTCCATAATGTTAAACAGTTTCTGTATCATCCTTCTCCCCATCACCACCTCCAGGGGGTGATGGGGAGATAGGAGATACAGATATAGGAGACATATTTTGGTTAATAGTCATCTTTGCCCCTTGATCGTGATCATTGTTGAGTGAAACTGTAGTCATTTTGTGTGTGTCTTTGTGTCCTTTAGGAAGCCGGAGCCATGGGTTTCTCCCTCAGCCTTCGATGAATTAAGTTAAGCTGGACCCACGCAACTCAGCCAACCGGCCCCTGCCCGCAGGGGGGTCTCTCCTGTCCCCGTCGCCTTCTCCAGCAATGGCAGGCTTCAAGCGGGGCTATGATGGCAAGATCGCTGGCCTCTACGATCTGGACAAGACACTGGGACGTGGCCACTTCGCCGTCGTCAAGCTGGCGCGCCACGTCTTCACTGGGGAGAAAGTGGCAGTGAAGGTGATCGACAAGACCAAGCTGGACACTGTGGCCACTGGCCACCTTTTCCAGGAAGTCCGCTGTATGAAGCTGGTCCAGCACCCCAATATTGTGCGCCTGTATGAAGTTATTGATACTCAGACGAAGCTCTACCTCATCTTGGAGCTTGGCGATGGAGGGGACATGTTTGACTACATCATGAAACACGAGGAGGGCCTGAATGAAGAGCTGGCTAAGAAATATTTTGCCCAGATTGTCCACGCTATTTCCTACTGCCACCGACTGCATGTTGTGCACCGGGACCTTAAGCCTGAGAATGTGGTTTTCTTTGAGAAACAAGGACTCGTCAAGCTCACCGACTTCGGATTCAGTAACAAGTTTCAGCCAGGGAAAAAGCTGACAACCAGTTGTGGATCTCTGGCGTACTCGGCACCGGAAATACTGCTGGGTGATGAGTATGATGCTCCAGCTGTAGGTATGCAAAGAATTTAAGCCACGTAATGTAATGAGTCACACTGTTAATTAGAAAATGCCAGATATTTACAGTGAAGAACTAGCAGACAGGATGTGGGCTAGATGTAGCAGAGTCTGCTGCTTGCACACAGGCATGGTTTTGCCTGCTTTTGTATTTAATCCATTGATTATCTAATAACTGTTTTTTTATTCATCTCCACCTTAAAAGCCCCTCACTGTGTCATGAAACAAGACATCTCTTTTTTTTTAGTCACATTACAACCTGGCTTCAGCACAGTGGTGTAATGAGGTCGGCAAAGTGGCTAGCACCTGTTTCACACATTTTTGTGTCAAACCCGCTGTAACACCTTGCCTGTTAGTGTCCTTGTGGGGCCTGAACACATGTTCAACATTGCCTCTTTTTTTTTTGTATTTAGAAAGCCTCAAAGCAGAACAGTCATCAGTCACATGCCAGAGCCCTTTGTAGCACAGTGTGCATGGTAGGACTTGTTCGAAATATCAAACTGTGTATTCCAGTTGCAGTATCCTGTGAAAAGCACTTGACACTGATCATTTTGTAGGCTGCCATAGGCCATGTGCTACAAGGTCAGCACTACTAGTACTGATGTCTGTGGGTGTCCCATTGCACTAAATTAACTGGCTCATTGATTTTCTATGAGGGCTGACAGAGTGCAGTCAGAAAGATTGTGTGTCCGCCCATGACTGATACCTTTCATATCAGGTAGCTTTAATGGTGGCAAAAACATTGGGCAAAGTCCAGATGGATGATCACAAGTGCCCAATTAAGCTAACTTTCCCGCTGTTGGGGTTGTTTGGAACGGACTGGCTGAATATTCATGAAGGAAATACTTTCAGAGAGAGTCAACTGTTTGTTTTCTGCTTCCTCTTTTTTTTTTTAACCATGGTTCTCACAAACTTAAGAAGTGAGGCGGATGCATTGAGGAAACTGCGGCCACTTTCTATATGTAATTATACGCACACATGCACACAAACCCACACATAGTCTCTCATCCTAAGAACTTAGATATGGTATTTTTTTTACCCTGCATAGTGACAGTGAGGGAGGTAGATATCTCTGCACAACATCTCTGAGGGGAACATTGACCATTAACCAACAATCTTATAAAGTACCTAATGTCTGCGACCCCTCCATGAAAAAAAGAAGAAGCTTTTTTTTTAAGAAATACGCAAAACTCAGAACATTTTAAGAAATGTTTGGGTTGATCTTGGGGTGAATGTGAAAGGCTGTTTTTTTTTTTTCATCCCAACTTAACCCAGAGTTTTTCCTGCCCACCAACTAGTAACCTTTCTGTGTGAAATTGAGTTGAGCCTGCAGCCTGAGAGCCCCCCCCCCTTCTCTTAAAAGGGTGTCTTTTTAAATGTACAGTAGAAGCAACAAACAAATGCACATGAAGATGTACCTATCATTTTTAGGCTACACTGTGAGCTTAAATAGACATTTGGCTGTGATAGATGAGGAAAAAAAAAACACCGGCCAAGCATATTTTTAACCGATAAATTGTGTTCTTGTTTCGCATGCACATTTGTTACTGTACATTTAATTATGTACAGTTTAATTGAATCACAGATTGAAGTCCTGGGTTAATACTCAGCATAGTTTTTATACATGATTTATAAATCTACCCGCATTTGCAGCTGCTAATTTCAGACCCTTGCCTTCAACTGATGCCCTGTTTGTAGTATTATACATTTATTTACATCCCTGAACTCCTGTGTATACAGCTCTCAGGTCTCTGATCTTATGTCTACTTGGTATGTAAGACAAACAAAGTCCTCTGAAGTTGTTGTGTTAGCTGTACTCTTGGCCATTGATGGGATTGCCTCTGGGGCTGTAATATTAGTCTGCCCTGATCTGTGTGCTATGATGCAGTTCAGTGAAGTTTTGCAGATGTGCATTGCTTGTTTTGGTACTTATGCTTCTCTGGTCAATGCCATTAGCCTTGTTTGTTTGTTACTGTGATAATGAGTGTAATGAGGTGACGGTGCTTATTGTTTGCACGTCCACATCCCTGGCCTCAGAAAGAGATGCTCCTGTTCCTGAATCGAGAGAAGCTGTATTTGTCCTTGGACTTGTCTGAAGTTAAAACAGGTGTGCATCATAAGGTAGACTTGTGTTTTTGTTGTGTAACTCAGTTGCGAATTGCATTTCTTGACATTGCAATTTATCTTCTTAATGGCAGTGCAATCAGGATAAAAAGCAATTCAATCAACGCGTGTTAATAAGGAGGGTGACATCTAATCATGATGTTCCAACTGATAGTGGAGAGGTTAAAGCATGGATTTAGAGGTTCAGCATGTGTGCTCTTGGCATACTTAAGAAGATGATGATGATGATGATGATGATAGAAAGCCCTTGAATTACAAAATCTTTTCCTTGTACAAGTAGCCATGCAGAGCTGTTTGCCAGGCTATGGTGTCTGCAACAGGAGTGCATCAAAGCTGTGTCTCTAGAGAGCATTCAGATGGGCTCTTAATTGCAGCCGTGGTTACTGTTGCCTGCTGCCAGTGGATGAGAAGAACAGTTAATCCATGCTGTTGTTTGGACAAGGCCAGAGGGATGTACTACTAAGCTAGATAAATGAGTTAGCAAGGTATGTTGAGCTGAAAGCCAAAGTTTCAATGCCAGAAGGATGGCTGTCTTTCAGGTTCTACTAATAGAACTGGGTTTTAATTTATAAAGATGTAAAAGCTTGCCTCATCAATAAAGTTGTTATTGTCCTTACAATAATCTCTATGACAAATATAGAGAGATCGTTGAAGAAATAAATGATAAGCTTGCTCAACAACATGCTAGTATTGCCCCCAAAGATGTGCAGTCATAGCAGCACAGACTAAAGTCATCGCTTTCCATTTAACCATCAAAACCCTTATTGGCTCTGTTTGATTTTTCTTACAGTAAGAGGTTATTCAGTGGAGCTACAACAGTTCAATAAATGTACATGTGTAGCTTCAATATTTACAATTCTTAATCTGACTATGATGGTTTCTTAAGCAGCACTGTGTTGAAAGTAGACTTCTGGTGTAATCCAGAGCTGACAGTTCATTAGTACAACAAACTGTTGATGGAGATTATGTGATGTAATATAACCACAAATTCATATTTCAGTATTTTATTATTTTTAGCTTTTCCCTTTAACGTTAATATCACGTCATTACAGTATTACAATGGATTGGCAAACACACTTTCTCACTCAGTCCCCCTTGTCCCCCTCAAAGTAACCTGTTTATTGTGATATCTAACTCATTCCTGTGCATGAGACCAGAGAAAGATGATTTTAAAAGTGGTTCAGATCTCTGGATCTTCTGACTGAATGTGTGTTTAAATTTAAAATCTCTCCGTCTGAGTTGGTGTTAATCTGCTGCTGAAAACACCACTATCATTATAAAGCGTCTCAACTACTTGAAAAGCACAGACTTTTATCGTGAAAGATTTGTTGGAAATGGAATATTAATCATATTAGCTTTAACGGAGATACAATAAGCGGAGAATTTTAGTCCTTTCACCACGAGTCAGAACCACACTCCGCTTCTTTGTGTGTTCCAGCACATAGCCTGTGTCGGAGCCTTAGACAGAGTGAAAGAGACGTGCTACAGGCGAGCAGGTAAACTTAATGTTTCTGTTAATTTGCTGAAACTTGGAAAGGGGAGAATACAAGTTTAACTGCTTGCTGTGCAGTTCTCTTTCATTGTAAACACAGACACCCGCTCTGACACTGGGAGGAGGCGGAGCCCTTTTATCAGTGTTTGGAGCGTAACATTCTGAAGACCGGGGGACACATCTGAGCTAACCCTAACCCTATGTTACACTACTTTTGATTATCCGTCATTGTGGCTAACATGCGGAGCAATCTGTGTTTTCTCTTGTATTCTTGTAAGTGTGTATTTAAACCGGTGATGACAGTACGGCAAAAATCCACGTCTTGGCAGATTTTTTATGCCGGTGGCGGTATTGATACCGGTTTACCGCACACCCCTATTGACCTGTTTTTGTGAATGAAAGGTAATGCTGACACATTGGAGTTTGAATATGCAAAGAAACATGTATTCAAATTCCCATGGTGTGTTAGTTTTGTGAATGTAACACATTTCATTTACACTCTAAACCTCTGCTCTTCTTGTTGAACTCGGGGCTTTGCTCTGTGCCTAAAGCATTTTTTAATGACAGACCTGGATGGAAAGGTGTGCGTGCACAGACGCACACAAATGCACAGTTTAGAACAGCCCTTTTCTAGTTACGCACCGTTGCTTAACACAGACAGGTCACAGACTGATGATCTTTAACATGGTACATGGAGGAACAGGTTCATCAGGAAGGCTGACATTAGGCAGCTGGATGAAATAACAATGTGCAGATCTGTTCACAATCTTAAAATCCTCTTCTAAGGAAAAAAGTCCTACCTGTAAAAATATATATTTATATCACTTAAAACATACACTTTACTCATATATCGTTTTGTTTTTTTACCACTTCAACTGGCTGTCATACAGCCCTTTTATTTGGCACTGTGTTTTTTTAAACCATACAACAGTTTCCATAAGAGAAACAGTAAGGGTGTAGTGGAAAAGACAAAGTGTTTTTTTTTTTTTTTGGGGTCAGAGCAACTTTTGCAGAAGGAGACCAGCTGAAAAAAGAGGGTACTTGTTTGTGTGATGTTGCATGTGTTTTTTTAGCGTTGTCTTTCCACATAGTTGGGTACAACATTGCTTTTCATCAACTGTTAATTTGGCAGTTTTTTGCTTTAAGATAGCTGGAAACAAAGTCTCAGTGTTCAGTGTGTTGTCGATGATTTGATTGAGTGTAGCTAGCTCAAAGCTTACTCAAAAGTGTGACTGTGACTCAAAAGAGAGCACAGTCAAATATCATGTCAAGGACTATTTTTCACTACTTCTTATCCGCTTAATATTTTGTGGACATCCGGTAGAGGTGGGTGATATGTCATCATGATTCAAATCACTCTATTCTTTTTGCTTTTTCCCATA